CAAATAAATAAATAAGTTTACTTGTCTACAAGAAGCAGAAGTTTCTCCGAAAGTATGTAAATAACCAAAGACAAGCGGCACAAGACAGTGAAAGACAGCAGCAGCGACCAACAAAACATGAAAAAAGAAGAAAATAAAATAAAACAAAAAAAAATAAAATAAAATAAAATAAAATAAATAAATAAATAAATAAATAAATAAGTTTACTTGTCTACAAGAAGCAGAAGTTTNAAGAAGCAGAAGTTTCTCCGAAAGTATGTAAATAACCAAAGACAAGCGGCACAAGACAGTGAAAGACAGCCACCAACAAAACATCAAAAAAATTTTCTTCATTTACAAAACCCTCAAAAGAAAAATCACCAAAACGCACAAACGCTTCGCGCCGCCGTTCCCCAGATATCACCTCGTGGGCCTGAGCATGCATAAACCCTAAACCCTAAACCCTAAACCCTAAACCCTAGAGCATGGAGGGATGGAGCATATAGTGGATAGAGGATAGAGCATAGAGTTTAGACCCTGAAACCTAAACCCTAAACCCTAAACCCTAGAGAATAAACAATAGAGAATACACCCGAAACCCTAGAGTATAAACCCGAAAGCATAAACCCTAAACCCTAAACCCTAAACCCTAGAGCATAAACCCTAAATCCTAGAGCATAAACCCTAAACCCTACAGCATAAACACTAAACCCTAAACCCTAAACCCTAAACCCTAAACCCTATATCATAAACCCTAGAACATAAACCCTAAACCCTAGTAAGCATGTAAAGAATAGTATATATTAGTAAAAATTATTAAACGCTGAACAAGGATATCAACTCGTGCGCCTGCACGCACAAACCCTAAACCCTAAACCCTANACCCTAAACCCTAAACCCTAAACCCTAAACCACCAAACCGAGAAGAAGACGGCATCAGACCTCTCTAATTTTGGCGAACATTTCCTTCGCTTCCATCGAAGGGTTTTTGTCCTGCATACACAAAACCCTAAACCCTAAACCCTAAACCCTAAAACCCTAAACCCTAAACCCTAAACCTGTTAGAATGAACGATCGATTGGTTGAAATATGTGTATGCAGCAGCTCCATAGAAACGCCATCTAAGCCACTTGCTGCTGACCTGAAAGAAAATTAGGGTTTAGGGTTTAGGGTTTAGGGTTTAGGG